CTTTGAAAACAAGTTATTTTATTGTTTTTCCAATAGAAGATTGTAAGTTATTTAGCGTAGTCAATTAAATAAATAAATAAATTGGTGGTAGCTAATTGCCCATTCTTGCAGCCCGAGTGCTGAATTACGAAGGACGCAGCTCACGTGATCGAGTCGGTTATGCGGTATACGAGGGCGCTATCATTACGAGGACAATCACATAGTTACAACACACACACAAAGCAGCCAACCAACCGACCCATATCTGATCACGGAGCACAGCTAGGATCGCCTTTTTGGTCGCTTTACGATCGAAGAAGACAAAATCCAAACCAAGACTGACAATACAACTCATATTTTACACCCAGGTTGTTGCCTCTCATCAAAATGGACGTTTAAAGGAATGCAATAAAGATACACGAATTACAGTCACCTTCACACCAACTGTGCCTATTGTGGATGAAGCAATGCAAAAGCACTTGTCTATCAAAATCCTTGTGCCGWWTCGCGGTCAATTACAAAGTAAAAGTRCTGTTGATACATGTGACTTAAAACTTCCTCATGGAATGCTTCCTAGTGAATCRCGTAWCATCACCATCACCCCARTTTGYGACAACCTTGATCAAACCACCSTAGGKTCGATGGAGTACCGTTTTGTCATTGYMGACTTTAGACAAAGATTTTGGTTGATGTATAAGCTACCATCTGTTAGGGTATGAGATAATGCCTTGATTTTTAGCTTCAACTCAATCATTAATTTATCCATTTTCTTAGTTATATGTGTCTAAACTCTCATATTGCTGCCTGATCTGCTTTCAATGCACGTCTTTTCACCATCATAAGGTCATGTGATGAGATCTAAGCAAAGCTATGCACGAATACTGTAAAATATGSTCATTCTATTGTCTTTTTAAGGTTTCCATTTCAAATACACCACAAAAGCAGTGTTCATCAGTAACAGACCCTCATTATACAACATTCGATGGAAGGTTCGTTTAAATTCAAAAACACTTAATTTTTTTAGTCATCTCTCGTAATGATCTGAAAGTATAAGGGGAGTATAAGTTGCTTGTACCTTTCATGTCTTCTGGTAATCATTTTTCCAATGTGCTATTATACACCTATTTCAAAAAACGTTGTCATGGAGAAACGGCGAATGTCTAAAGTAGATGGATTGTATGAACGAAAGGTTATTCAAAATTCCACGGTACTCGCTGGACTAATTTTGAKTGGAGACAAAATGGAGTAACTGTTCATGAAAGATCTTACAATATAATTTCTGCTTTAATTTCCACCAGTTAGCAAAACTCATGGCTCCTTTCGGTCGTGCAATGTCCGTTCGACAATTGACATTCGCCCCACTTTATCCGACAACTAGTATATTCAATGAATTTTTTTTTAGCATCTGCCTGTTTTTACGGTCGGGCCTCCTGTGTCTTCCATAGTACAAATAGTCCGACACTAAAACTGYCTGTGAAATCCACGCCTGTGAATAATATTGTATTTTCATTAAAACTCTAGATATTACGTTTTTATGCCTATTGGAGACTACGTTCTTTACAAAAACACATTTACGGACACGGAGGTAAGCTTACATATATATACCTAATTCAATAGGTCAGAACAAGAGAGAATGAGCCAAAAGAATTTATACCCGAATCCCATTTTAGGAACTCTATTCGTGCTATTTTTGGAAATAATGACTTTAGAAACATATTCTTGTGGTTAAGTTTATACTTATAATAAATAGATAAGCAATAAAGGTTAAAAATACTAGTTCTCGGCCAAGGAACAATTATTACAATGAAAATGCATTGCCCATTTCAGTGTTGAAACTAAATCTATCTTTTAAAATATCATTTTCACCTAGGTACATGCTCGTTCATGGGTTTGTGTGTATTGGTCTCCTGCTATTACGTGCAATTGTGGAGCTGCAATTCGTGAGGGAGCTGATATCATCATTTTCAGCGTATGCAATGCAAATCTTGTTCAAATGCCTAGACTTTTGAAAACTGAAATACGAAGTGAAAATGGCCTGGCACCAGGGACCCATATTATTAGAACTGTTGAAGGCAGTAAAGTGACGCATGATGTAAGTGTGCAGATTAAAGTGCAATTGAGCCCTCTTCTTTCCAAATTCTAGGATAATCGKTCTTATTAAAATAGTGTCTTGACCCAAAACCTTTTTGTCCGAGAGGTGAGAAAACTGTGACCTCTGTGATAGAATTTCGACTTGAGAGAGTTTCGAGCGCTAGCTGTGTCCTTCTCAATTTATCACCCGTCCTTCGATGAATTTCGGTTAGCACCCATTACCTCTCACAATTCCTATAGACGGGCGTRCAATGGCGTAGTTTGTTTACATCCATAATATCAAATTAAAAAAGCAATCTGAACTCATATTATTCAAAATTATAATGCTTTTAAAAAACATGAACATTTTAGGGTAAACGTCTTTTTACATTTTGAAATAACGGCATTTCGAAATAACCAAATCTATGCCAGTGGTTGGCAGCATTGTGCCCACCACGGCCATTGCTTTAGAAAATCTTGCAAATTCGACGCTTGATATATCTTAAAATATTGAACCAATCGCCTTCAAATTTCCAGGATTTGCTAACAGATTCGAGCTCTTTTTATTAATGGGCTTGATTTTCTTGTGGCTTGGATTTCGATTTCTGACTTTTATGCAAATTAGTTTAAACGTATAAGTTGGCGCCCACCTATAGTCTATATCATTCAACGACGTGTGAACTTGGTATACGTTCTCGTCCATTTCGGATTTATTGAAAATTTCATTCAAATTTCATTCGTCACTTCGTCATTTCATAATATGCTGGACTCTTGTGATGTTCTGTGCTCTATTTAGATGTTTTCATATTGTTCTTGAATTCCTTAATATGTGCAATTCAAAACCCATAGGTTCTTCTTCCATCTGGCAACCGTGTTAAAGTCGAACGTTATGATTGGGGCCTTAACATATTTGTCAAAGCATTCGCACCTAAACCAAACACCATATTTGGATTGTGTGGCAATTTGAATGGAAGGCAAGACGATGACTTTCATCAAGGAGGTGACAATCAAAACTATGGTCAGGATGCAGTTTCTTTCGGAAATAGCTGGAGGTAAATTGATTTCTAAGGTTATCGTGAAATGGGGAAAGAAATCAAATGAAAACAGTGCATATTTAATTGCTGCCGCAGCGTAGCGCGCCTGAAGCGCGCGAAGCAAGGCAGCGATCCTAATTCAGAAAAAATGGAGACATAGACATGTTTTCCTTATACAACGTACGGAAAGGTCAGAGCTGATCTTGATGCTATCCACGCACAATCCATTGCTTTCGCTGCTAAAACAATGAATTTCTTTGTTTTCGCCGTCAAAAATGTATACGTCACTTGTACCGTCATGCACATCGGGCTATAACTATAATTATTGTAAATTATACCATGTCGCTAGATTGAAGTCATTCAATTAAAACCGTGAAAAAAGTAAACATCTGACTATAGAAAATGCCACAAAACTGAATACGGCATAAATGTATTGACTTTTGAATCGCACGGATCGTTTTAAAAACGTTGATTTGCGCATCGATAAGTTACATATTAACCATGATAAAACCATAAATGATCAAGCTCAAAAACATTCTAATAACAAGCTCTGTCCACGATTTCAAAAGTAACTTTTATGTGGAGTGCTATGTTTGTAGTAAATGAACTTTTAAAAACAATCCAATAACCCATGACCTATAAAAGTTGTCATCCCTTCTGCAGGATTCACACTCCATGTGTTATGCATTCATTGTAACCACAAGTAGCTTTACTATGGCAACACTGGTCTCAAGCTGATCCCAGTAAAAACAAGCTTGAGGCTTGTTATGGTGGTGTTTATGATTTCACTTACTTGAACTGTCAAACTATTTTGTATTATTCAATGCTAATTCTTTGGTTTTCTTTTCTTCACCTAGTACTTTCTTTACACAATTCACTGGAAAAAATCGCGCGCTTTAAAGGTTGTAAATTTGATGTAAATATTATGTAAGTGTCCAAAATGATGTAAATTTGATGTAAATTTACATCAAATTTAAGCATGAAATTTACATCAAATTTACATCATTTTGGACACTTACATAATATTTACATCAAATTTACAATCTTTTAAAGTGAACGATTTTTTTCCAGTGATTTATTAATCACTGTTCCACGTTTTCACTTTAAGTACTGCTCAATAAAGATGAAAGAATATATTCTTTTTCATTTCACCGTGAAAGAGTCAGACTATTAGTTGGTATCAAACTTTTAATCTATTATTTTCCTTTTGTTCTTTACTGTTTTGTTCATGATTGATATAAATCACTAATCACAATTTTGGAACTTCAAATTCAGTTTTTGAATTAAACTGAGCACATGCAATGCAGCACTCAATAACTTTAAGTTAGGCTGGTTAGCATATAGATTACTTGCATTAAATGCAATCCGAATATATCATAATACGGGTAACAGATTGCTTTAAAGATTGGTGAAGTTCAGAATTGAATAGTATGAGTATGTGGGAACAACCATATTGACTAAAACTAAGTATCAACCAGGTATTGATTGGTCTTTAATACACCTGGAAGACCGGTGTGGTATACGGAATTCCATGTGCGGTCTGATACCGTGTGTACATAAGAGACCAAACGAGGTTTGTGCACACGTGTCAAGGAACTGCTTCGGTTGGTTAAAGAGAGTCAGACTTAACATTGTCACTCAGAAGATCATGATTATTGTGTATTGTACCCATAATGCAATGCGAACTGGAGAAATAAAGTGTGTTAGCTATGTTGTAGTTTCATGGAGTATTACATTGGCGACGAGGATTAAATTCGGAACAAGATTAGATTAGATTAGATTACATGCAGATTAGACTAGGATTAGATTCGGAGAAGAAATAGGATTAAATTCGATGTAAAATGGGCGATAAGAAAAGTGCCAGTGGTTCAACGGCGAGATCATTTGGAGGTTTAAAGTTCAGCAAAGTTTTGCCAAATTTTAATCCAAGAGGAGAGCTACTACGCTAGCAATCGAGTGGAAACGGTGGAAACGAGCATTCAGCTTGTATGTACTGGCGAAAGGAGTCACGAAGGATGAGCAAAAGGTTGCTTTGTTATTGCAAGTCTACTACTCAATTCATAGTTCCGACAAATCAAACTCGTTATCCGCGCGCGCTGGATTGGCCAATCAAAATAGAGGACACCTAATGGCAGTCATGTTGTCCCACAAAAAATGTAAACAAGTCGGTTCGGAGGGCGAAGTTGAGATGGTTTTGAGATGTTGCTGGGGCACTTGTAAGGCAGATGAGCGCTAGCCTGCCAGGTGAAATGGAGGACGATTTATTTTGATTCCCAAGACAAAAATTAGCCTATAAAAATGCTTGAATTGGATCAAAATGTACGGAAAAAGCACGAAGTGCTCAAAGTAAAACTAATGAAAAATAATTAAATCATTTCTCTAGGCCTTTTTCAAATTGACTTCACATTGTTTTTAACAAAAGAAACAGAAAATTTATCGGAAATTCTATCGACAAATCGTCCGAAGAATGTCATTTACAAAAAATCGAAAGCATTTGTGGGTCATTTGTGGGACAAGCGCGAGCGTTCGATTCCCGCGCTTTCTTCTGATTGGATAATCACACGCTCGCGCTTGATTTGTCGGATCTATGAATTGTAACCGAAGACGAACAGAAGTCGTATCGTGAGTGTGTGGAAGTACTAGATAACCAATTCCTAGGTAAAGTGAGTGTGCCTTTCGAAAGACATTCATTCAGGAAAATGAAACAACTGCCCAACGAAACCGTTTACCAATTTGTTTGCCGTTTGAGACAAAAGGTGACCACGTGCGATTTTGTAAATGTGGAGGATTCCATATCAACTGATTGACAAGTGTTTAGACAACGAAATACGGAAAAAATTGCTGGAAAAGGCTGGTGATGTTGGTCTTTCGGAGTTATTAGATGTGGCAAGAGTTCATGAATCGATAGATTTGCAGATGAAAAAGATGTCTATTTCACCAACTCAGGCAGCCCAGCAAATCAATGTAGTAAAAACGAGAAAGATACAGCAACGGGAAGAGAAAAAGAATAAAGGCGGTGACAAAAGGAGATGCAACAGGTGCAATAAAAAAGACAAACAGCAAACTATGCCCAGCCTTAGGAAAGGAGTGCAACAAGTCCCATAAGAAAGGACACTTCGCTATTTGCTGCAGAACTATAAGGCAAAACCCGATGGAAAGGAGAGGACCTACCAGTTAGATGAACAGGATGCCTGCATATTTGAAGATAACAAGATAAAATAGGATGGCCATGTAGATCTGAGTATTGGTGGAATACAGGTAGCTGATTTCCTTATTGATTCAGGTGCAGATTGTAATGTTGTAGATGAAGTACCCTATTTAAAGAGTAGAATGTCGTTCACAGAAGACTGAAAAGAAGTTGTTTGCATTTGGCTAAACAGATCCCTTGGATATTCTTGGTTCATTCACCGCTGAAATTACTTGTGATAGCAGCAATTCAAGCTGCAATGATATGTTTACAGTAGTCAGAGGAAAAGCAAGGAACTTGGAAAGACAACAGCTGAGAAACTCAAGGTATTAAGAGTCGGACCTCCAAGCGTTGATGAGCTGTATACCCTAAGAAGTGAAGTAGAGAGACAGTTCCCTGAACTTTTCTCTGGCTTTGGAAAACTCAAGGAATTTAAGCTGACGTTGCACATAAATGATCAGGTAAAACCTGTCGCCCAACCAGTCAGAAGATCAGCATTTAGTCTCAGAAGCGAGAGGTAGATGACAAGCTCGATGAACTGTAAGCCCTAGATATCATTGAAGAAATACCTGAAGGCCCTACAGGATGTGTGTCACCTATATTAGACATGTGGCGTGCAAAACGAAGCAATCGAGAGAGAAAGACATCCTATTCCAACATTAGAAGAAATCCTATATGATCTTAATGGAGCAACTACATTTTCAAAGCTAGATCTCAAATGGGGATTTCAACAGATTGAATTGGAAGAGGAGTCACGTCACATAAGAACGTTTGTAACACACCGTGATCTATACAGATACTTTATTCCTCAAAGGTCCATACCAAAAAGGCCCCGAACGAGATACGCCCGTACGGTTTTACCTCCGTGTTACGTCACATACGTAAGAATATTGACATGATCTACACGTGTTACCCACACGTAACAGTTGTACAACTTATACAAATTGTGACCGTAAAGTTAACAACTGACCTTAAATAAGAGTATCAACTAATTTATTTCTCTTTCTTATTATGAGGAAACTATAAAATGAAATTATTAATGTTATTTGTGAAATGACAGGTGTTCAATTAGTCAAAATCTATGTCGCACGTAAAACGTAGCATTCAAGCAAGAGTGTTAAAATGCATAAATAATAAGAACTTTTGGAGATCAAAACTGCCGARAGGGAAGATAGGTACAATTATGACTTAGTAATTTTAGGATTGTAGAATTTCAAAATTGTGTAATATTTCGCAATATTACAAATTATCAGTAATATTTGCAAATTAATGTAACAACAATAACAAAACGAATAGTCTCTTTTCCGCCGCCACTCATAAACACCGTAAAGATATACTTGTCGTTAGTAATTTTTATCTTTTATTGTCATTTACATCAAAGAATCCCGGTAGATGTAATTAATAATCCAGCATGCCGGAAAGCAATAACAGTGCTCGAATGACTCCTGTTGGGGGGTTTTATTTCTGTGTTTCCAGGTGTTACAACAATTAGAAAAGAGATGCAGAAAGACTTTCATAACACGTTAATGCCTAAGGATGGGAATATCCRAAAATTATGGCTTAATTCTAAAATGAGGGTCACGTGACGTGTATTTTTTCGCACTATTTTTCAAAAACTTCTGGTTAGGGCTTACACATGATTAGGGTTAAGATTGTTGTCTTAGGCATAGGTTGAGATTTGGATAAGTGTTAGACTTGTGCTAGGGCTACATCGGGGCTTGAACTAGGGTTTTGATCTAGTGTTAGTCACGTGACCAGCCTTCGCCAGCAAATTCAAACTCTAYGATGAGATCTGCATACAACATTGGCTATGCTCAACTACCTAAAGTCCTTTAGCTATGCTTATAAATGAAGACGACCCCCATTCTTTCACTTTCAATTGTGCGTAGGACCTAAGGCTACATTGTAGGTTTCAAGACAACCACCCGCATATCTCTTGACTGCTTGCATAGTTTTAGGCTTATCTTAGGGAAAGTTATCAGTCTTGTTGTTCAAACCTGTCCACAAAGGTTTAAGGCGATAGCCAATAAACTGCGAAAGTATTTTTTGATTGAGAACATTTCAAGACGAAGTTTTTATCTATAAAAAAGATCAGCTGTAGGGTTATTTTGTGTGTTTAGAAGACTGTGAACAGGGAGGAAAAACCTACTTACCGAACGTTCGATCCGATTAATATATTCCCTCTGGGAAAATCACAGCATTTGATTAAGCAACCTAAGCAAGATGAGAGCTTGTGAAAACATCAGAGTTCTACAACAACCCCCCAAAAAACGACGAGAATAACGATGACAGCGCCGTAATAGCCAATATGAATACTTTGGTGGATACTTATTAATATTATTGAAAATTGCTTAGTTTATCTATGTAAAGCCGCATATTCTTTAGTATTTAGGGGTCACTTTGTCTTATCCCCGGCTGGATATTATAAAAAATATGCTTATGTAGTGCAGCCATTTTGAAGAGGGGTATATTAAACGTACAACACAAAATTTATTTTAYCTTCACAAAGGGTAGATCCAAGAAAAAGCAATTTCAATTTACGTCTTCCGGCACCAACCACTCCACCTACAGCGAACCTACCCAAGTATTGTGAGTGYCCCGCAACTGAAAACCATGTTTGGGATTGTGAGTGGGACGCAAACAGATTCCATGACTTCAAAAAAACCACAGGAAAAGATATTGCCGACCAGTTTCGAAAACCRAGTCGTCGACGAAGGTCAATAACCGGAACTTTCTACAGCGATGACWTAATGGATTATGAGGAGAGGAGCTTTTTTGTTGACGAAAAAGAGGCACAATTCGCGCTTCGACGTATTCGATCAAGACGATCAGTAAGCAAAGAAGTCATGTCCAATGAAAATGCTACGAAACACTGTAGAGCTGTCATAGAAGATTCAACGGCTGGAAAGACATGCAGTGATGTTCCTGGGTTTAACCTGACATCAGCCATGGCAGAATGCATCACTGATTTAAAGGTACAAAATTTAATTAATAGGATAGTATTAAATAAGTATTAAAGGTGAAATATTTAAATTTCTGGGGTATTTATGATGAGCATCCCTAAATCCTTTTAAATGTAGGCTTTTCAAACAACATGGCCAAAAAATCCGGACATTTGAGCCCGCAATCGCAGCGGTACTTCGCATAAATGCATAAAAACATGTTTGTAAATTTTACAAAGAAATGTATGGATCAAATAAAATATTTTAGAATAACATTTCATCTGTTTTAACTGGAAAGATTCCATAGATGAATTCGTAGAGGGAAACTATTCTTGATTCCACTGTAGGAAATCCAAATAAATCCAATATTTTTAACAGCGTCCTTTTTGACAATTTATTTTCCTTTCGTCGTCTCCCTTTGGCCTTGTATCTCATGGTGAAAATTCGCGAAGAAGCGAAATTTCATCGTAGCTGATCGTGTTCCTTTACATGTCACTGATATTCCATAGATCATTTCTCAAAKTCCACATATTGAGGTAGGAACACAGCGATTTTCAGCTATTTTGAAGACGATCAACAGCGTCCTTTTTGGTACTAGAAATCGTACAATTTGAAAACACTAACTTGAGTACGCTGAAATGGCTGGCGAAGACGCGTGTTTCACGCGAATACTTGGCCTGATCTTCCATTTTATTATCCATGTTTGGTACCAAAATAAACCTTAGAAACATGGCTTTCAGACTGGGACTGCTTTAATTTTGGAGGTTTTTTTACTAGCGCCTTGCGCGCACTGGTAAATAGCACAGATAGCGGGAAATACGAACGAAAGATAGGCCAATCAAGTCTAGTGTAAACAATGTCAGACCTTTTAAATTCCTTAGAAATGTACAAGTATAAACAAAAGATCACAATATCAACTGATGATCATTGTTTAAAATACCTGAGGGAAACGTGTGTTCCAGCAAATAATATTATTTACACTATGAATATTCCAAACGAGCACCTCACAAGCCACTAATGAACTCAAGGCAGGGCGTGCTATCCCAATACTCGTTTGTCGGTGTTTTTAACGTTCCGATTTTAGCCCAGTATTGTATTAAGATAAAGGATCGTTGCACAACAGTAGAAAATTTGATCTTYAAAAGTTCAAACCACAAGGGAACTTGTAGAAAGCTCTATTTTGGTGGGAAAACCCGCTGACTCGTCCCGGGCTCAAATGTSCGGAATTTCTGGCCATGGACAAGTGAACACAACCCCCTAATTAGATAATGATGAGCATAGTTGATAGTTTGTATTAACTATGTGATTAGATAAAGACCTATCAGTTCAAAATTGAACTAGTTACTGTTTTTTTCAAAAAATCTAAAATTTCTAACAAAATGTATGGGATCTAGTAAATTTGTCTGGGTGGACAAAATGGTCAAAATTCAAACACAAACGCGGCTTCCTAAATATTTCTTTGGAAAAATATTAGAATATTTAAAAGACTGTAACTCGTTCACTATTGAACTGATTTAAACCAATTGAAAGTTTCATTGCCAGAAAGCTGGGTCTGACCAGCCGTTTTCGTGGGCTCAGATATTAACGATTTTATACGTAAAATACAAAAGATTTAAACAAAACATTTCATTTTCATTGTAGAATTGACTTATTGTCGTGATAGATATTTCAGAACAGCAGAAATAGAAAGTTTGTTTCTATAAAGAGACCCGTCATGTTCGAAAAACAATGAATTCACCTAATTCTTAGAATTTTGTACGGTAAAAACAAACATTTGAACTTTGACTGGAAGCACTTTGTGCAATCCCAGAAGGCACTGAGTTTATATTCAGCAAAAGGGCGGATCAAGAGGGCTTTCGTGAAGGCTTTCATTCAATTATTTCCGACTCAAAGCTGGAAAACAAAATTGCGATTTCTGCACGAGCCAATTATGTGCAAACGGACTGATATGTACATGAACATTGGACGATTTTATAGAAAATGAAGGAGAGACCTTAAAAATAAAACAAACTCCTCAGGAAGAAAATTTGTTGTTTTCCGTTCATGTTAAAACCATTATTGCCGCGAGTACAACGATTGAACTATACTTTGATCATTGTAAGTCGCACACCGAGTACAGAATGCTTTGCTTTGTACACAAATACTRATAAATATTCTTGGCCATACATTTTCTTATGCAAAATGGAAGACATTTTGTTCATGTTTGCGCGTTACAACGCATGCTCGTCGCCATCTTGACACAAATTTCTGGCAATGTGGTACTTTTACTTTTTTTCAATCGAATCAGAGTTCAGAGTTTTGATTACTTTTTGCGATTTTTCGCACTCGTCTTATTCGAGAATCTCGTCTTAGTCTGGTAAACATTTTCCCCCGTTAACATTTTRTCGGAAGGGGGCTGGTGGTCTTGAATGGGGGAGGGGGRCACCCACCAAAAACCATGTTAGAGGTGGGCAATGTAAAATTATTATCCTATATTACATATATKTTCGTGTCAATAAGACTTGATCAAAGATGAGAGCCCCCAATCACYATCAAAAAAGGTCTCTTACATAAMGTTATTTGAATCMTAAATTAAATTTAMAAATTCTATGGATAGGTAAGGGTTTTTACTTTTTTTGGAGTAGATTTCAAATCAAAAGGAGTACAAATAAACTCAAAAATCGCATTTTTGTGTAAAAAAAATTGTTGCATTTTCGCAATGCATTCATCTACATCCTACCTCATCATTTCCTGAACTTTTTGGCAGACCATATTGCTCTTGAATTATTTTCGCTACATTGGTCATATATTAAAGTATGTTTTCGATCAAATTCAGAAATGGTTGTACCGCAAAAGGTGTAAACTTCACTTCATTCGCCTCCATCAWTTTTTTTTTATGTCAATCAGGTGCCTTGTTATATGTGCGCGCGTTGTGATTGGTTGTCTAAAACTTTATTATCTTATGACAACTAGATTATTAGCGAGATGGACACCCCTTCTAGTAACCGCGATAAAATGGGAATYAAAAGCCAATGTCTATAATTATACAACGAATTCAACCTTTTCCTAATTCTAGCTGCTAATTGAAGTTTTCTGTTTTATGACTGTTCTAGTTAACTGGTGAAATCAAGTTTGCGGGTGCCGCATTTGACTCGATGAAAGAGGCTTGCGAAGAAGTTGCTTTAAAAAACGTTTCTTTGTATAAATCGGACGCTAGTGGAAAATTCAAACCTCCGGCAGACATAGGCGATAATCTGTGTCCCGGCGATTGTAGTGGACATGGTAACTGCACCAACAGAACCTGTGTATGCGATGAAGGTTATACCTCAGATGACTGCTCAATGAATGTCAACGCTGTRCCTGAGTTGTTAGGGTGGGTCGTGTTTTTTTCTACAGTAGACGCACCTATCCTTGTTCAATCAATAGATTTCAATCAATTTTACTATCTTTTCAGCATCTATGATGGAGGTTTGTGTGACATTCGAAAACGACCATGCAARAAAACCGACATCTTTGGAAAAGACTTTATCAACTCAGAAAACATCACTTGCCATATAAGAGAATTTAAGGCAAGGCTTAMTTTTTCAAAAATGATCTCACACCAACGATTATTAACATGCTTTCTAATCCTTAGGTGACCTCAGGTAGCTGGATACCTAAGCAAGATGTCATTAAAAAAAGCGGTACGATGATTGACATWTTTGGAGTAAGGTGCAATCTTCCTGATCCTCCAACAAAAGTTAATGACTATGATTCTGAAGGGACTCCTGCAGGAGGGCTCTTGATATCGATCTCGAATGATGGCGARCATGCAAGTCAGCGACACATGCGATTTGTTTCTTATGATTCTGTGTGTATGTCATGCAATAAAACTGGCAACTGCTCTTTCAAAGTAGGTGTTGCTCAGCTAGTACTTTCTTATATTTCTCATCCACTTAAAAAAAGTTTTGGTAATTAAGCTTAATCAAAGGTGGATCCTGAATTTTCTTCAGGGACAGGTCAATCAAAGAGAAAATAACCCTTACAAAAACTTGGAAAAACAACCCCTGCATCTATCAGCTARAACCGACACTKTAAACTTACAGTATATGCATGATAATGATCAGATCCAGCTAAGGCTAAATATAGTGTTATTTACCGGCTGGGAGGTCCGTATAGGAAAACACTGCACGAGATCTTGACAKTAGGGAATGAGCGCAGCGAGGTCCGTTCATAAAAGACCGAGGGCAGTGTTTTTGTATACGGAGCGACCTATAGCCGGTAAATAACATTTTTATTTTATTTATTATTTTTTTATTTGTATTTTATGCAACTTTGCTCGCAGCCTAGCTGCAGGATACTGTGGACCGTGCTCAAAAAAACATATCCACTTAATCAAAAAAGTATTCATTCAGAATACCTTTTGGCGTAATTAAAGTGTGCTAGCTTTGATTTTATACCTTTAACAGTCGAATCTCTACTTACGTA